ATGCCTGCCTTAACCTCTTTCAGGTAAAAAGAAAATCTGAACCTTCTTTTCGAAAACAGGCAAATGGAGATAAAGTCCTCAGCATACCAAACACTCCCCTTACTCCCATAGCCCTACACCAAGCTTTTCAATACAGTAAGCGTGCCTACAACATTCCTTATCACTACTGCATACTCAGGATCACCGTGTGTTCATTCCATCATCTGCAGTACTGAGGATAATAGAGGTTGGAAATGAGTAAAGTAATTCAAAAGAATAACATACTGGTGAGATTTTAAATATCAGGTCTATCAACACTACCTTAATTTTACAGGGTGCATACAACGGCATTATAAAAACCTCTCTGCCCTCAGGAAGGAGTGCAACTTGCTTTAACTCTATAGCATCATGGATGTACTTAATCTTTCCTGAGAGCGTTGGAATGATTCTGTAAATTTCCTTTCTTATCTTGCAAATTAATTCAGAGCTGCAAATATGGCTCTGGAGGCTGATTCCCCCTATGTCTGCACTCTGTTTAATTATGTTCAAGAAAAAGCAGCAGCAGCTGAGGACAGAAGGCTGCTGCTCTGCCAGGGTAGTGCTCACCATCATTGGAAATGGGAGTAAATGCACTGCAGATGCGAGGACACTGGGGATCTGTCTGTTGCTGCAAAGTGCCCCTAAGAATCTACCAGAGAGGGCACTGCAAGCGGAACTGCAGCCCCCTATGCTCTGGTCTCGACATATTTCCAAGTCTTGGAATAACTCCTGGAGAAAAGCCAAACACTGATAGGTTCCCCCAAATGGTTGCTCTGACATTCTGGAGCTGGGGAACAACCACATGACCAGAGCAAAAGCTACAATCAGCCGCTTGGCGCCGTGCCACCAGCCATAAGCATGATTGATACTACATTTGGTTCCATTAGGTACAGTCCCTATCAGCACCTTAGGAACAAAATCTCTTTTCTGAGTGCCATTTTCAAGGTCACCTTTGTAGCGCACCAAGAGTTTTAATTGAAGACGACTTCTGTCGCGGGTTATCTGCCCCAGTGGGGTTCCGAGACTTCAGCCTGAACTGTATTCTGTCTCCATTTATAAGCTGCATTGAAGTTTCCATTGTCCACATTTATCTCCCATGCAGTTCACTTGCTGACAAGTCACCCTTTGAGATTAATAATGCTTACACAATTTTCTCTTTCTGCTCTTTGATTTTTGCTTCTTTGTCAATTGAAGAGCTTTCAAAAAGCCACTTTCTTGGCTTTCCAATTTCTTTTATTCAGCTTTTCAAAATGGTTTCTTTATGACCTGCTCTGTTTTTTGAAAGTACAGAGCTGTTTATTTGACACCGTAAACAGATGTGGAGGCTGAATTAGATTGAGTCCTTCCTCGATCAGGACAGGGACATTCTTCCAAACTTCTTAATTTGTCCTGCTCTGCTGACATGTTTTTCAGAGCGCAGCTGTTAAATTAATAGGCAAAGTGAGATGAGTAGTTGTGGGGAATCATCCTGGAGCACCCAGATCTTTACCTGATGCAAACCTGCGTGATATGAGGGAAACCTCAGGGATTCAATGCAAAAAGGGATAGCTGTGTCATGCTAAAGAGGCTTATAAAACTACCAGTTTTGAAGCTGAACAAATGCGACAGACCAGTGGTCTGGTTTCTGTGGACACTATTTTATTTGCTCTGGCAAGAAAGAGAAAACACACTGTTTCCTCACTGCCTGCATTCAGCAGCATTTATCATTCATTATACACCGGAACAGAATCTGCTCAGAGCCACCTTCAGCTCTGCATCACCACCAATCTGCACCATCAAACATGATTGATAAAAACTGCTTCATGTCAACAATGTTTGTTGGAGCATCAGCTATGGAACCAACGATCCTGTTTAAAGCCAAATCCATTCCCCAGGAAATCTTTTCCAATACTTTACGCCACTCCTCCACTTTCACAAAGGTAGTACAGGTTTCTGAAGTCATGGAAATGCACACATTTCACTGCCAACTTTCCAAAACCTTCCTCATGCTGCCCAAGGTCAGTAACCAAGCTCTGACCCCCCCAGACAGGGATGTTTGCTACCCATGAAGCATACACACCATAGCTTAGCATCAATGGCAGATCAGCCGCCAGATGAGCCCAGCACCAAGACTACCAAACCCTGCGTGTGGTGGGACCTACCACAAGGTGCAAAACTGGTCTCAAGTGGAAAGGGAACAACCACAAGATCACTTTGATAGTATCACTAAGAATGAAACCCTTGGGAACCCCTGCAACAAACATATTAAACTACTCACAGCCAAAACCTGAAGTGCTCTCATGGAACATTGCTTTTGACTTAATAAACTGTTGAGTTTTTAGCTACATCTAGTGACTATTGTGAAAACATAATATCTGTCACAATACTCCAGAGATGTACAAGTTAATCAGAATCCCAACAGAAGCAGATGACGTTCTTCGGTCTGTTCTGTCTTTTTGGTTGCTTGGCTCTAATGAAGCTTGCCTTTTACAATTACCTGTAATTTGGTTTGTGGTGCAATAGCCCTGAAGTCGCAAACTGACAGAAGCCCTTGACGGTCCAAAGTTGTTTTTAGATTAAGTTATTCTCATGGTAAAAATGGTGCTCAGTGAGTGTAAGGTTTAACATTAAGATACACACCTTCTTTAATTTCCTCCCCCCAAACATAAATAATTCCCTGTGAATACACCTTCCCTAATGGAGAAGAAAGCCCAACAGTGAATTTAGCTCTGAAATATGAAGGCACAGCAAGACATTTTGTAAAGACAGCTTCTGATGGTGAGCAAAATATTAGTAGGTATAAAATTCAGAACAGAATCTGTCCCCAGCCACTAGCTTGTTTTGCTCTGTTTTCCTCGTGAGGCTGATTTTTGTTCTCTTGGCAGCCAAATTCCTCTATATCAGAGCTCTTTTGCAGACAATCAAAGTAATTTAATTCCTATATTTCAGAAAACTAGAAGAATGCTATTTTCCTGACCAGTATTTCTGGGGGGTAAAAAATGTGAAAAATAGCCTTCTGTTGAGGGTAGCACAGCAGAACAATATTCTGGATCTGTAGGTCCTTCTGTTGAATCTTCATCCCTTTGCTTTCTAATTCACATCCTCACTGTCTTCTTCAATGGCTTTGTTCAAGAAACACTGTCAAATCCTTGGCATTTGTATCGCAGCATTTCAGCAACTCACCATATTTCCAGAGGCTGAACACCATTACATCTGCAAGTATCTTGTCATTACTTCCTAATGTATTTACAGTGATTCCAGGGGCCAGTCATCACATCCGCGAATAAATCTATTTAAAGAGCTATTTCAATAGAAAAACAAACAAACAAAAAATCATAATTTGAAATTCTGGACTGTGCAGTGCTTAAAGAAAACAGCTTCTGAAATTTTCCTTCCATAGTCCTTAAAAAAGCAAAAAGTTACAGAATCAACTGCAAATTGTGCAAATTCAATCTCCAGGACAGAATAATGTGTGCTGTTATCCCAGGCAAAATAACTATAGAAAAACAAGTGATGAAACATTTCTGGCTGCTGTGGTACCTAGCTATTAGAAAATAAATGTTAAATCAATTTAAATGCTAGCTCCTAGCACAAGCCGCAATTTGCTGATCCAGCAGTTTGCAGATGGATTCCTATGTTGGTCAACAGTGGTCTGATTCAGCATTTTGTCCAGCAATCAATATCTCCCTTTCTCATATTCCACCAATTCAAAAACTATATTTAAATGCTAGCCAATTCTATGTGCTGCCAAATATAACCCCATTTCACCTAAGCCACTGCTTTCTAGGCCAAATGTTCTTTCCTGAGGATAACACAGGCCAATTGTGCCCACACCAGATCAAGACTTGTCCAGCCTTACCTTACTTTGCTCCACCAACCATGGACAAATCCCTTACCATAACCCAAATATATAATGTTGAACATTACTGTTGCTGCTATTACCACCCAAAAACAAATTTATCAGGCTCAGTTACACAGTATGCCCTGAACTTGCAAACAATGAAGAATATGTGTTCCTTTCTCCAAGGGGAATGTAAACTTATTACATGTAACAGACTTAATGGGACTAAAACATACTAGAAATCTCACAGAAATGAAAATACGACTGTCTTGGTGCCTGTCATCTTCAGGTATTGAAACATTTTGCACAGGACACTGACATTATCCTCTCGTTTCACAGGTGGGAAAGCCAGGGAGCATGCAAATCAACCACAGCTACCAGTAACCAAGCCAAGAATACTTCTTCCTTAAACTCTATTCCTAAGCTCCACCTATGAGAGCCCGCAGATGATCAGAAATACAATTTTGACGGAGCCTCCATCGATTTCTGTGACCTTTACATTCTAACACTACTAGCAGAGCTAACATCCGACCTCTGCTCCCTGCCCTTGGCCAGGGATTTGATTCATATACCAAGACATACAGTGACATATTTTAGTATATTTTTTCTCTTTCTTGGGCAGTTTTTTGAATTGATTTGGGATGAATCTTTGCCTTGTGGCAAAATTACATGCCAAATTACAGCAACATCAAGTAAATGTGTTTTACTGAGCTTCCTTATACATGAGAAAAAAAACATTACTAAATCTTAATCTCAAAAATAACTGTGGATATTGCTTTCTTACCAAGCATCAAATTCTTCTGTAAGAATACTTTTTCACTTGTCTATTTTAATGCCATTCCCAAAAGCAGCATATACATGCAACTTCACATTTGCTTCTGACATAGCGTACAGCAGGACACAGACCACAAGAGATTGCTTTGAAACTAAGAGGTACACAAATCTTTCTTGAGCCTGCAGATAAGTCAGAATGAAATCCGCATTTCCAAACTACACTTCTCAAAGCAATAGTTTCAACAAAGGGGGATTTTCCAGGCAAAAACTCAAAGCCTATTCAGAACAGCACAAGATAAATCCAAAAGCAAAGCTACAACATAAATTAAGGCCCATCCAGGAGATGGGGACAGAGAAGAAATAGGAGGCAGCCACAGCTATTGCATACCTGGTGCGAGACAGGGAGATGGGCACAAGGTTGAGTTGAGACTGGGCTCTCGGGCCATGTGTAGGGGGTGCAGGTGGAGGCTCCAGGTGAGCCTGGTCAGGGCCACTGAGAGCCATTAACACCTGCAAAGCCCTGATACTGGAATGGAATCAACATTTGCAAACATGTGTGTGATTTTTGGGGTGATTTTCTGCTGTCTCTATTTTATGAGCTTAATTCAAAGATGTGACTTTTGTTTCTTTTTTTCAAACAGCACTGCTTAGAGCAGAGGCTACATTGCTAGAGCTACAAAGTGCATCTCCTTTGCCTGCCTTGAAGTGATCCCCTCAAGGTGACCAATATCACCAGCTGCTCTGAGAAATCTTGGCCTGAACAAGAGAGGAATGTGAAACACAAGCCTTGTCCCATTCATTCTTCAATTGTACCCACTAGAAGAAGGAGAAAAAGAAAACCGTGTTTAAAAGTTATGAATACCTGAATACTGAATTCAGCACCACAGCAAATCCATGCTCAATGTTTGATGAATGGTGAAGGGATGAGATTTTTCAGCCATTTGTATCGCAGCCTGACAGGCTCTATTAATTCCAATTCCACCACAATCACTGAAATGATATTTTAGGAACCGTGAGCCATCCTCACATTTAAAGTAAATTTTGACCTTTCGGGAGATAAACAGCAATGTTTGATCCAGCATTGACAACTTGTAAAAACTTATGGGAAATTCAAGGCTTGGAGGTTTTAAGCTTTATGCATTAGGTAACATAATCCCATGGAGAACATCTTACTCACTCTTGAAATCCATTGTGTTCTATTTGCCGTGCAGGAGCTGAAATACCTTTTCTTTAAGCTTTAAATCGCATCAATTTTTTAAAGACAGGTTTTGTCTCTTCCTTTGGCAGAGGAGTGAAATGGGCATTGACGGGCAGTGAGGGCTTCAATGTGGCTTCAAATATAACATTTCATAACATAAAATAATCACACCAGACTTATGATGGTACCAGAGCATCCCCAGAACACTTACACATAAAAGCCCCCTTCCACCTCCCTTCACCCCACCCAGCTCAGCAGTAACTTGTTTCCCTGCCTGTGGGACCTCAGAAGAGGTTCACCACCCCTGAGCAACTTCAGGCAATCCAGTTCCTTTGATTAATTCTTAATCTTTTCCCGATTAGATCTTTTTTTTTCGATAGTTCACCTTTATGAAGCACAGAAGTGCTGTTAACGACCAACAACTTGTGTTGCCTGTGATTTTATCTGTGGAATTTGTTTGACCCTTGCCCAGCAATGCCAAGGTTCAACACATAGACAATGACCCTTAAAATGATCAAAATTACCTTAGAGCAGCTTTGCTCTAAGTTGCCCCAACTCAGAAGAAGTGGTGCAGAGGATTTTCTGCTGCTGCTGTCTCGTCAGCCATCTCCACACTCTCCCATGCTTGGTACAAATGCAGCTGAGGAGGAACGTTCATGTCACAGGAGCAGACTGGCACATTTCCACCTGACTGATGTTAGATTTTCTGACTTAATCTTTTTCGTCAGATCTACACATGAGACGGGGCTGGAGGATGCCAAGTTTCACTATAAAAAAATTATGCCCTGAAGACAAGAGGCAGTTGAGCTATTCTGGGGAGCACTGCCCCTCTGACATCCATGGTGTAACTTGAGGCTGCTTGTCCTTAGAGGGGACAGAAGTAGGCTCCTTGCCTCCCAAAGGTCTCCTTCACGCAGTGTTTCACACCATCATGTCTGTGCCTCCCCTACTAAGTGGGCTGAAGTAAATTCAGTCATGGTCTAGTTTCCCGTGGGTTTTAGCAAATGACCTCTTAACTCAATCGGCCAAACAGAATAAAAACACAAGCAGAAAAAATGTTCCTCTCCCCAAAAAAGCAATGCAGAAAGCTCAAGAAAATCCATTTGCCCTGGCAGAAAGAACACTGCTTTATGTCCCTGTGTCCAGAGGGGAAGGGACAACTTCTCAACATTTTTCTTTCACTGTATTTATCTCTGGCTAAAGGCTGTGTCAGGTTCAACAGGGAGCTACAGACCTGGAAAACAGAGTTATCTCTGAAAGCAACAAAAGGCAGAATATTGTATTGGTAAGACAGAAACCTTTGGCGGTACGGAAATGTTTAAGGGATTGGATAGAGAAAAATCTGGTGATGATTTGAGAGAGGGTTAGTCAATTTGAAAGGAAAATGAACTTAAAAAAACCTTCGGAGTGGTGCTCAAACATCCAATCTGTCATCCTTTTCTCTTCAAAATGAACTCCCTGCAGCAAAATTACATAAATTATGAGACTGGGAAACTGTGAATTTTTTATATAGTTAAAGTGATTTTACAGGTGTGCCTCCTGGTGGCTAATGACAAAAAATTGATTAATAAATAATTTCATCTAAAAAGGCCAGCTGGGCTTATATTAAATGTCTCTTCTGGGAAAACTTCAGGCTTAAAATTCCAATTGCATTTAAATAAAAATTTGCTCGAAAGAACACTGTGGCAAAGAGCAGGCTGCCCAGCAGCAGGCCGTCCTGCTGCAGCCCTGGAGCAAGGTGTAACACATCACCGGAGTCACCTGCTCATCTCCCCTGCCTCCCCCCACAGTCACATAGGCAGCAACTCCTCCAGAGGGTACCCCACAGCAGCTAACTTATGCTCTGGTTCCCAAATAGCATTACATATACTACGCTGGTCCCTGTGCATTATATGCCACAGGATGCTATTTCTCACTGTGAGCTCCTAACGATTGACTCTGGTATGGCCAGTCACCAGGCCTGTGCTCACACAGCCTCTGAACACCTGTATTTCATTTTAAAAGACTTCCAGAGATCACACTCTGGCAGATCAATCCGTGGAGCTGAGATGGCAGTTCTGGCTCAACAGCCCGTTTTTCCTGGCTCCGTTTGGCTACCCTGTGATTCTCCCTAGTCCCTGTGGAGTACCTTACAAGATGTTACCACTTCTCCAGACTTCGCTTACATTTCACTCCTTGAGGACTTGCAGTCCTGGAACTGGGGGCTGCCCCTTCCCGCATGGCTGTAGCCCCTTCCCACCTCCTGTTGCCTCTAATTTGCCCAGCCACCAGTGCCCACCTCCTTGTGACCCCAAGGCCCATCCCCTGCACGGGCAAGGAGCCACGGGCAGGCAGCAGCACGCGTCCTGCTCCGCCGCGCTCCCAGCCACCCGCACAGCAGGCAGCGCCTGCGGCATGGGCACAGCCGTCATGTCAAAACCTGGCCAGGCACCTCCAGCGATGGATGGACTTGCCTCATCTCCAGCGAGTTTGGGAAGCACAGGCATAGCTTTCATCTCCTGTCAGCATAATCGCTTCCCCAGCGCCACTCTCCGACTTCAGAAATGCTATGGGTAGAAGGCTGATTTGACCCTGCAGTTGTGGCACCGCACTGAAGAACCACAAAAACCTTTTCAAGTCAGAAATAAGGTATGATAGCAGCTTTCTATGATTCATCCTCACACCAAGATTGTGGTTTCATGCTCTTAGCAGCTTCAAATGAAGCTGCCATTAGGCACTATTCTGTTGGACCCAAATTCATTTCAAGAGCATGCAGAAATAATCGGCACAGGTGACCTGCGGTAAGGCTTTCACAGCACGTTAATCTCGTTCTCAGATTGACACTGAACTCTTGACGGCCATTTAAATCTCAAATAGCTTGTGAGAAAAAAAAAAAAAAAAGAACTATTGCTTTCTAACGAAGCACCAAAATATGGTTCAGCCAGTAGACTGAAGGATGAGCTTTAAATACTTCGTGGCTTGCTGTGGGGCAAAGCCAGGGACATGGAGCAGAAAGGGCCCCTCTCTGCACATGTATAAAATAAACCAGACTGCATGATGCAAGCTGCTAAAGGTAAAAGTGCTTCACAGAAACATGCTCTGGTCTGTAAGTGTCTGTTTATGCTGAGATTGTAAACATAAGGAAAAGGAGAGTGTCTTTTAGGTAAAGTGGAGCTATGGGAATTGCAAGGGGAATCCCTGGAATCATTCTGCCCGACATGAAAATCCAGGGTGAAAGGACAAACTGCCAGTGACAAATATCTATGGCAAAACCACCACAATGTTCAAAAGGGGTGAAACGAAGGGGCAGGATATTGTCTGTGGCAAAAGAAAGTGATGTTCACTGAATAAAAGGCACATAAAAAGGGAGATGCTGAAGAGAATACAATTCAAAAGGCTTTGTCAGCAGAGAAAGCAGCAACAAAGGGAAGTGGTGACAATTTAGCTTGAATCTAAGACTGTAGCTGTAATGGATGAGGGTTAAATTTTTTAAGAAATTCAGCATCCAACCTCTCCCCCTTAGGCCTACAAAGAAGTCGGTAGGTTTTCCAAAGGGTGTATCTCCCACTGAAACACATCGATTAAAAAGCTGCTTCCTTTCCAAACACATTCTGCAGCCCATAGCACCCATGGAAAGCGAAGATGCATTAAGTGCATCTTTGAGAAAGATCCAAACCAAACAAGACCATCTCTGAAAATATGAAGGAGTGACAAGCTTGACTGAGACAGAGGACATATTAAGCTCCTTTTAGATGTTTTGAAATCTGAGGGCTCCTGAATATGGGGTGTAAGTAAACCAGTTCTTGAGGAAGATGCCAAATGCAAACCTTAGATCTGGATCAGAGCTATTAAAATGAAGAATTTAAAGCAGGACCATTGAAGCTCCATCTGGTGCAGCTAACAAACTTTTAACAGTCTCCCAAGAGAAGACACGAGCTCTGCATTACAGAATTTCTACAACAACAGGCCAGGCAAGCCCCTGTCAGAAATTGCAGGGGTATATGCCCAGGAGCAGTAGTATAAATTATAGTTCTGATAACCCCTTCCAAACTGCTATTCTAGACGAGCTATATATTATTTCATACTAAAGCTGTTAGAACAATGGCTAGAGATAAAGGAAAATTGTCTTCTGCAGTTGTAAGCCCAGTCTAATAACTGTTCTTTTGAACAATGGGCATAAAGGCAGAAGCAGTAGAAAATTTCCCATTTCCAGTTAAAATCTCCAGTTCTTGACTTTGAAAAGACTTTTCTAGAAATTCCAAGTAATTTTACTAACATTCCCTGGAGGCCAATGCTAAAATA